TTGCTCTCAGTGTCCAATATCCTACCAAAAGTGTTTCCATGGCAATCTAGGGCCATACTATTAAGCACATCAAAATTCCTCCAGCTTCTACTCATTATCCAATTGCAAAACCACCTCCACATTTGAGACAATTGTTAGAGCAGAACTCCACTTGCCAGTACCAAATTCTGTCCTAGTTACCTAGTGCTACTATAATACAAATACCATAAGTGGATGACTTTAAAGAACAGAAATTACTTTCTCACAGTTCTTGAGGCTAGAAGTCCAAATCAGGGTCTCAGTTGTAGTGATTCTTTCATTGTCAGTAGTCCTGGGTGTTCTTTGGTTCCTTGGCTTGTGGATTAACCTTAGATGGTGTCTATTTCCCTCCTTCTGTGTGTCAGTGTGTCTATTTTAGTCATTTTATAAGTCAGTAGTGATTATATTTAGAACTCATTCTATTTGGGCATGATCTAATTAGCATACCAAGAAAATCCTATTTCCAAACAGAATTACATCTACAGGTATAAGAGCTAAGATTCTGTGATGGTTAAAGTTATGTCCAAGTTGGCTGGGCCATGATTGTCAGTGGTTTGTCAAATATTATGTAATCATCTCCTGTTTTGTGACCTAATGTGAGAAGCCAATCTGTTGAAAGGGGAGTTTCCTTGGTGTGGCCTGCATCATACACACATACATACATACATACATACATACATACACATACACATACACACACACATACACATACACATATACATACGTACGTACGTACACACACACACACACACACATATGTTCTGGCAAAGCTCACTCTCTCTTGATCCTGTATTTGGTCCTGCATTTGCCCTATCATCTTCTGACTTCTGGTGCTTGGAACGTGAACCAACAGGCTGCTGCCTGACCTGCAGATTTGGATTCCTCAGCCCCTGCTACCACATGAGTCAGGAGAAGTCTCCAGCTTGCTGCTGACCCATGGATTTGGGACCTGACATCCTCCACAATTGTGTGAGCCATTTCCTGCAATAAATCTCTCTCTATATATTTATATACACATTACTGGTTTTGCTCGTCTAGAGATTCCAGCCTAAGATCAATTCCAAGACATATTTTGGGGAGACACATTTCAATTCACAACACAATGCCAGGACAGAACACAGACCAGGAGTTCAGAAGACAGTTTCTATGTAGTTAGGCTGGTGGTTGGCCATGTGGCCTCAGGGACTCAGGGCTCTCTCAGAGCTTTGCCTTCCTTGCTGTCATAAGAGGGATCATCATCTTTGGTGTGCCTACCAGGTTGGGGTATGAATGAAGTGGTCTCACAGTGGTAAAAGGACTTTGAAATCTATACATTGTTATATCAAGGTGCAAAGTCATTACTGTTGTGTAAGGGTGGAGTCAAGAACATACAAGTGGGTTGACTTTATTCTTTAAACTTTTAAAGACTGATGCATAATTTACATGGACTAAAATGCACTCATTATTAAATATATAGCTTGAAGAGTTTTCACATGTTCTTATACCCAGATTGCTACCATTTAGGTCAAGGAGTTGTGCATTTCCATTACCCTAGCAGGCTCCCTGAGCCCTTCCCAGGAAACCTTGTGTCCCCTGCCATCCCAGAGGCAGCCACTGCATTGACCTCCACCATCATTGTCTGTCCTTGCTCTTTATTGAAATGGGCAGCACAGAACTGTGTGTCTAGATTCTTCAGCTGAACAAGTTTGTGAAGTCCTTTCATGCCTGTCTACATATCAATAGTTCATTAATCTGCTCTGTTGATGAAAATTTGGGTTGCCTGTTTTGGTCTATTATGAATAAAGCTGCTATAAATATCCCTGTGTGTATCTTTTGTGATATGTGCTCATTTATCTTGGGTTAATATGTATCTGTGGAACTGCTGGCTGATAGGGCAGGAGACAACCTTTAGTTTTCCAAATTGATTGAACAAGTTAAACTGCCCCCAGCAATGCATGAGAGTTCCAGTTGCTACACATCCTTGACAACATTTGTTGTTGTCACTCTTTAAATTTTAGCCATTCTAGTGGATGTGTTGTGGAGTCTTATTGTGGTTTTAGTTTGAATTTCCCAGATGAGTAATGTTGAACACACTTGCATATGCTTATCAGCCAATTTGATATCCCCTTTTGGGAAACACCTGTTCAAGTCTTCTGTCTATTTAAAAAACAAAACAAAACAAAACTTGTTTTCTTATTATTGAATTTTAGGAGCATTGTAAGAGGGGAAAGGGGACCCTGGATTCAAACAGGTTCAATAGAGACACTTTTATTAAGCTTTGGACAGGACAAAGACAAAACAAAGGCAATCGACCAGGTGGGGGGCCGGCAGCACGTACACAGCACAGGAAGCTGAATGGAGTTTGCCGAGTCATGGCCATGAGGGTAGCTATATATGATTGAAAAAAATAGGGAATCATCACACAATCGTGACTGGTGGCAGATCAATTCGTCACTTTTGCAGGCGGGACTACAGCAAAAGGGAAAAGACCATGATTGGGAATCGAAGATTGAAAAGGGTTACAGGATTGCTTCTGGGTCTAGACTACCTGACCAGATGGTGGTCCGGATAGGCTGTGACTCATGACCATGCAGCCTGAGTCTTAGTCACAAGGTGGCTACCAAACAACACCAAGACCCCAACCTTAATTTAAATTAGAAAAGGACACACTCAGGCAAGTTGCCTAGTTCCTTGTGTGAGCATAATCTACTTTCAACCATACTCTTCCTGAAGGCAAAGCGCCTCTCCCTAGGTTTGTCCTAGAACTTGTGTGTGCATCGCCACAGTGATGGTTTAATGGCCAGAAAGAACTCAAATGGTGTCTGAAACTCAAAATAATTGAGCTCAAAATCATTAGGGCTCCCAGTGCAGACCACGGGAGCTCTGGTGGCTTAGTGCCTAAGTCATTTGACTGCTAACTCCTCTGAAGGAAGATTGGGCAATCTACTTCTGTAGAGATACCACCTCAGAAACCCAAGGGGGGGTCGCTATGAGTTGGATTTGACTCGATGGCAGTGAGTTTGGTTTGGTGTTTTGGGCTGCAGACCACAGCCTTCCATGAACCCAAGTGCTTTAGAATTTAAGCTCTAATACAGTATATATATTTCAGTACAATTTTTTTTTCATAAAAACTGTACTACAAATATGTTCTCTCAGTCTGTGACTTACATCTTCTCTTTTTTTTTTTTTACCCCCACTCCTTTTCCATATTGTCCAGGGAGGCCCTGGGTGACAGTGGCAAGGAAAATCTTCCTAGAGGCACATTTCCAATGTCCATTTGATTGTCCACATGGTGCTGAGTGGCTGGCCATAAAAAGCAACTTTCATGGACTTTGAGGTACTGCTGATGTGATGGTCAGTGGTCAGGACTTGGAGGGAACAGGGTAGGGAAGCTGGAAGTGTATTGTAGTGCCAAGGCTGAGGGTCCAGCATGGGTTCACATGAGGATGAGTGTTCTGACCCTACCTCCCTGTCCACCCTGGGCCTCTGACGTTTCCTCTGGCCTCCTCTTGGCTGCAGGGTTGTGGCCATTTATCCCACACCTTCCTGACTCCAAGGCTGGTTCTCTCTTCCACTCCCTGGAGTATCCCAAGACTTCCCACCCCCGTTGCCAAGTGTGGGTGGCTCCAGTTCCCTCTTTTGGGGGATTTTTGAGTTTTGCCAAATGCCTTTCAGTCTTCTTCATTTGATTTGGAGCAAATTCATGAGGCATCTGGTATGTACGGTGCTCTAATGGGGCCCCAGAAGAGATGACTTTAGTGTCTTGAGGGCTGGTCTCAGTAGCTCAGGGCTGGGCCATGCCTTATAGGGGCATAGACGGGAGAATTGTTGGCATGGTGGGGGTCCTCACTTGGTTTCTTTGAGGGGCTCACATCCCAGGCTTTCCTCTCTGCAACATTTCATCTGATATAGCCAGGGCCAACTGCTGTCACCAGGAACTGCTTGAAATTATTGATCTTTTTGATTAGCCAAAAACCAAAACCAAACGCACTGCTGTCGAGTTGGATCTAACTCATAGCAACCCCTCCTTAGGTTTCTGAGGCAGTATCTCTACGGAAGTAGATTGCCCAACCTTCCTTCCGAGGAGTGGCTGGTGGATTTGAACTGCCAGCCTTCTGCTGAGCAATTAGATGCCATGGGTACTACGCCACCAGAGGTCCTTTTCTGATCAATGGTCCAAGCATTTTCATTTTCTACTCTACCTCAAAAATGATGTAGGTGAACCTAGGTATGTCTTTGCATTTATTGAAATTATTCTTTTTACAAAAATAATGTTAGTTTCAGAACATGTAGAAAGTACAGACAAGGTGCAAGAAGAAAACGAAAACCACCTAACATCCCACCTCCTGGAAAGGAACACTGTCAACACTGTGGGTGAAATCCACTGAGAACTTCTATTTGCACAGATGCCCAGATGAGGCATGATTTACACAATGCATCCTAATGACATTTGACTTGTGCTATGTATTTCTCCCTTCACCCTCAGCTGTGCATTTTGGCTTGCCAGTAAGCAGTGCCTCGTGTCACACAGTTACATTCCCTTATCTGGATGCTCCTTCATTGGTTCAGCTAACCTAGTCTTCCTGCCGCACGTATCCGTGCTTTCCTAAGGATGAACATCCTCACACAGAGAGGGCTGTGCCCAGGACCCTTTCCTAGAGGACAAACAGCAGACTCCCAGGTCAGGCACAGTTGCAGGAGCTTTGATCCAATTGCTCAGTTGTGTGAGTGTGACACAGCTGCCCCAGGTGAGCTGAGTGCTCACGATCCTTTGGCCTCACACCTGGCTGCATGGGCCCAGCTCTGCAGGAAGCTGCCTGGCCCCACCACACAACCCAGGGGCCTGTCTGGGCCGAGGGTGCAGAGCTGCAGCTCTGTGTGCCTCTGATCAGGACGCGGAGTGAGTGCTCATTGGCTCCTCCTGGAAGGCGCCGTGCCTGGCTGGGCATGCGTCTGTGGCACGCACGTTGCTGGGTGGGCAGCTGTACCAGATGTGCCCCACGATGGCCGCACGCTTGCGGATCCTGTGGCTCTTTCTCCTGGTCTGCTGGGCCCTCCCTGCAGGTGAGTGTCAGCCCTTTCAGGACCTTGAGGGTCACAGCACCTACAAGTGTCCAGCTCAGAGGGTGATCAAGGAGGGGACGGGAGAAGGTAGAGGAGAGTGCACACGCCAGGCCCACAGGGTCACCTGCTTTCTTTGTTCACGGTTTTGCTACCTTACCTTTAATTAAAGCAATTGAAGGCCAGACACGGGAAGGAAAGGGAGATTGGAGACAAAGGAGAGGCATTAGGAGTGAGGTTTAGCTCCCTAGTGCTCAATGCTTGGAATCCCTACTCATCTTTTTATACCTGCCTCTGTTGACCTGTGTTCTTGCCCCAAAGACCCTGCTGGGAACGAGTCACTGAGTCTCCTGGGTGGTGGAAACACTTGTGAGGGTGCAGTGGAGGTCCAGTCTCGGGGACAGCGTGGGTTTCTCTGCGGGGATGGCTGGGGCCTGGCGCAAGCATCCTTGATCTGCGAACAACTTGGCTGCGGCGAGGCGCACTGGACCCCCACCTACTTGCTGTTACCCAGTCAAATGGTGGCGCCCTGGCTCCAGGGCATCAGTTGCTCAGGCAATGAGTCCTCTCTCTGGGAGTGTGCTCTGGGGGCGTGGGGGCCGCTGCAGGACTGCCAGTGCCAGTGTGTGGCGACGGTAGTCTGTTCAGGTAGGTTGTGTGTGTGGGGTGTGGCCCTGACTCCCGGACTGGCCTCCATGACCAGGCTCTGGGAAGTCGAGCAGCCTAGTTGGGCCTAGCCCAGCAAGGTGGGAGCCCGGGCCCTCCCAGCCCCCGATTTCCTGGGTATGTGGCAGGCGGTGGGGCGGGGGGAGCAGGGGAACAGCAGCCCGGCTCATCTTACTTCCTTCTAGCGTGGTCACCAGGTTTCCGAAGGCAGCTCATAAGGCTGCACTCTCTTTTCGCCCTCCACCACCAGGGCGCGCGTCCCAGGGTCCCCAGAACACTCCAGGTGGTACGCATCTGCAGCGCCTAAGGCCGGCAAGGGACCCGACCTGGCGCGATGGCCACGATGAGGCAATCATAGGAAGAGGAACTCCAATTCCCGGAGCCCGACAGGGAACCGGGCAGAGAGTTCAGCGGGTTTCCCAGGCCACACAGTCCGCGAACGCGGAACGCGCCCCCTCCCTCCGCAACCGCGGATGTGCGGTGGGAGAACTGTTTCTCTCTGCGTCCCCAGGTGGCATCTCTCGCACACTAAGGCTGGAGGGCGGAGGAAGCCCCTGTGCAGGGATCTTCGATGTGGTGAACCCAGAGCTCTCCAGGCTGAGGTGTGGCCTGCACAAGGAGGAGGCCGGTGTCTTGTGCAAAGAGTTGGGGTGTGGCACCGCTCTGCAGTGGTCCAGAGAGCACCTCGCGGGGGGCTTCGGGGACCAGAGGCCGAAGGTCTTGAGCTGCCAGGGGACAGAGTCCAGTGTTTTAAACTGCAGGATCAGCCTGAGCCTCCTAGAGCAGTGCGAAGCCCCGGTGGAAACGGAGGTGGTGTGCTCTGGTAGGGATGCCCCGGCTTTGCAGGGCTTTTTCCTTTCCGAGAAAACAAGGAGGGCGCTACCCCACACAGCTCTGCCCCAGGAGGAGCGACGCCCCTCTCCCAGCAACAGGTGGTCGAGATGGCGGTTCTGTTTATCCATCGAGTCCAGGAAGATGAGGAGCAATGCCTCTGCTGCACTGTCCTGAACCCCACCGCTATTGGGGTCCTCCCTTCTAGGGAGATGGAGCTGGCGACCCCACAAAAAGGGGGATACTCAGAGGATAGCCAAGGCTCCTGGGTGTGCAGGGCTGCGGTTGGAGCTGTCCTTATCTAACCCTGCATGGGTGGCTTCTGAGAGACTGGGTCTCCAAGCGGTGAGGCCCCCAGACAGAGCTAAGGTCTCTCAGGGCTGGGCAAGGCCAGGTGTCTCCAGGTCCTCCTGCATCCCCTGTCCCTAAGGGGGCCAAGTGCAGGGCGGGTCTAGTTGCCCTTGGGGGCTGTCCAGAGCAGTGTCTGTCCCCAGGGCACACGGAGGCTAGGCTGGCTGACAGGGAGCACCCCTGCGCTGGGCGCCTGGAGGTGCGGCGCGGCCTGACCTGGGGCACTGTCTGTGACACGGACCTGGACCTGCCCACGGCTCACGTGGTCTGCAGGGAGCTGCAGTGCGGCTCGGCTCTCTCCACGCCCGGGGGCGCACACTTCGGCCAGGGCTCAGGGCCAGTATGGACCGAGGCCTTCCGCTGCGTGGGCAACGAGTCCCTGCTGTTCGACTGCCCGCGGGGGCCCGGGCGCCCTGAGCCCTGCGACCACAGCCGCGACGCGGGACTCAGGTGCTCAGGCGACAGTAAGTCCTCGTGGTCCCACGTGGCAGGGGCAGGGGCAGGGTCTGAGCTGGGCGGGGCGAGGTCACCGGACACAGGGGCTCTGAGGCTGACTCTGTTCTGTGAGGAAGGTGGACAGTCCAGGTGGGGGGTGGGGAGAGCTCAGGGCCCGTGTCCTTTCCCATCACTGAGGTGGACGCTGTTCTGTGATGATGGTGGACCCTCGGAGTGGAGGCGAGAGCTCAGGTTCCTGGGCCCTACTCTTCACTGTGATCCCTGGACAGGGTGGGCACCTGAACGAAGAGCGCATGCTCCCTCAGCCAGGCCTGACTCTTGGGCAGCCAGCCCTCCTCCCACCTGTTTCTTCCTTCCTCTTTGTTTTTGGCCTCACTTGTGCCTCCTCACTTCCTCCCCGGCAGTCCCAGGGCTGGGAGGAGGCCCTTGCTGTCCCACATGGTGCAGCAAATCCCTGGAGTTTGTCTAGTGACTTACCTAGAGCCATAACTTACAGGCCACTGCTTTAATCATTTTAGTTTTTAATTTTTAGAGCTTGTTTTATGTTCAATGTTATGTGTACATTTAGTTTCACTCCCCATTTGCCATGTCCAACCATAACCCAGTCTCCTTCCCTCCTTACCCTGTAGCCCTCCACCTGTGCCCCTCCTACTTATGCACTCCTGTTTGTCCTGCATTTCCTCAACTTGAGTATTACCCCTTTGGTGCCCCATGGTCCATTGCTTTAAGGGATGCATTACCATGGAGTATATGGGTGCATCATCCTGGGTTGAGTGGTCTGTGTGTTCATCTTGTTAACTACTGGGCTGAGAGCCAGCCCCTGAGGGTACATTTTATTCCAGGCGCAGAATGTATTCCAGGGTCATAGTATTCAGGGTCTCACCAGATTTCATCTGACCAGTAATTCTGGTCATTATTGAGTTTTTGGATTTTGTTCCATGTTTTTCCTCCCCCTCTATCCAGGATCTCCAGATTCGATCCTTTCCTGAGTGGTTGGCATTGGTAGGTGGGCACCATCTAGTTCTTCTGGTCTCCAGGGCCATAGTGTCCTATGGCTGATTGCTTCCAAATCCCCCCCCCCCACCTTTTAATGCATTTTTCTTCACTTTGGATGCTAGGAGACTGTTAGCTGCATCTTAGATGGCCTCTTGAAAGCTTTTAAGACCCCAGTCGCTACTCACCAATGTAGGATGTGGAGCAAGGCTTTTACATATTTTGTTGTGCCAATTGAGTCTGGTGTCCCCCAGTACTATGGTCCTGAGATGGTAGATCTATTGGATCTCTCTCCCATAGTGTCTGGTTATCTGTGAGGGATTACTACTCTGTGTCTGTCTTCTGTTGTTTCTGTAAGGACTGCAGTTATTTTGTATCACTGGTGTCTGTGTAAGTGCTTTAATCATGTTAAAGTTCAGGGGCATTGGGTCCATTCCCAGGGTTCTGCAACCACCTCTGTCTACTTCCTGATCAAAGTTAGCAACCACGCTCCACTACCCTTGTCCTTCCACCCCCTCCAACATTGTTTCCAGGCTTTATACAGTTGCCTTTTCTGGACTTTTTATATAAAAAGAATCATACAATATGTGGCCTTTTGTATCTGGCTTCTTTCACTCAGCATAATGGTTTCAAGGTTCACCCATGTTATAGCATCTATCGGAACTTCATTTCTTTTGATGGCTGAATATAGTCCATTGTAGGGATGGACCACTTTGTTCATCCATTCACTCATCAGTGGGTGGACATTGGGTTGTTTCCACCTTTTGGCTATTACAAATAATGCTGCTATAAATATGTGTACAAGCTTCTGTGGGATATGTTTCTACTTCTCTTGATTATATACCTAGGAGTGGAATTGCAGGGTCACATGGTGAGTCTATGTTTAACTTTTGAGGAACCACCAAACTGCTTTCCACCATGGTTGCACCATTTTACATTCCCACTAGCCATGGATGAGGGTTCTCATTTCTGCATATCTTTGCCAGTACTCACTGTTCTCCATTTTTTGACTATGGCTATCCTAGTGGGTATGAAGGAGCTCTGGTAGTGTAGTGCCTAAGGCACTTGACTGCTAACCAGAAGGCTGGCCGTTCAAACCCACCAGCTACTCCTCAGAAGAAGGTTGGGTAATATACTACCATAGTGATACCACTTCGGAAACCCAAGGAGGGGTCGCTATGAGTTGGGTCTGACTCAATGGCACATAACAACAACAACAGTGGGTATGAAGTAGTCTCTCTCATTTTTGTTTTGATTCACACTTCTCTGATGACAAATGACATTGAGCATCTTATTCTATGCCTATTGGTAATTTGCATATTTATTTGGAGAAATGTCTATTCAAGTCTTTCATCCATTTTTTTGAATTGAGTTTTTTGTCTTTTGTTGTTTTGAGTTCTTTATAAATTCAGGATGCTTATCAGATAAATGATTTGCAAATCTCTTCTCCCATTCTGTGGGTTCTTATTTCACTTTCTTGATGGTATCCCTTAAAATACAAAAATTTTAGATTTTGATGAAACTCAATAGACCTATTTGTTTTCCTTTGGTTCTTTTTGCTTTAAGCAGTATATCTAGGAAATTACTGCCAAATCCAAGGTCATGAAGATTTACCTCTTTCTTCTTCCAAATGTTATAATTTTAGCTCTTGCATTTAGACCTTTGATCCATTTTGAGTTAATTTTTGTATATGGTGTGAGGTAGGAGTTCAACTTTGTTGTTTGCACGTGGATATCTAGCTGTTCCATTACCATTTGTTGAAGAGACTTTTCTTTGCCCACTTAGTGGCCTTGGCACCCTTGTCAAAAGCCAATTAACCATAGATGTGTGGGTTTATTTCTGAACTTTCAATTATATTCCATTGGTCTCTATGTCTATACTTATATATCTATGCCAGCGGCATGCCATTTTGATTACTGTAGCTTTGTAGTAAGTTTTGAAATTGGGAAAATATGAATCCTCCAGCTTTGTTCAAGATTTTTTTTTTTTTTTTAAATTGTGATTTGGGTCAAGATTTACAGAGCAAATTCACTTTCCACACAGCAGTTCACATATACTTTGTCTCATGTCATTGACCACAGTTTACCACAATGCAACAGCTCCCCTCCCAGTTACCTCTTCCCAGTGTCCATCCCTCCATACTCTCCAGCCCCCTGAGCTGTCTCTCTGTGCATAAGCAGCCCTTCCTTCTCCCATGATTGTTCTCTCCAAGGCGTGTATCTGCTTGAGGTAAATGTTTAGCTCATATGCCTGTACTTTGTTTGGCTGGAAACCACAGGTGTGGGTTCAATTCCAGACCTGAAGGGCAGCTAGGGGCCGTAGTCTCAGTGGTTCCACCAGGCTCTATTGGACCAGCAAACCTGGTCCCCACCTTCTTTTTTTTTCCCCTCCAAATGATTTTGAGTTTTGTTCCACATTGTTCTCCCTCTTTATGCAGGATCTCCTACATCCCTTCCAAGTGGATGGCAGTGGTAGTTGGGCACCATCTAGTTCTTCTGGTCTCATAGTTGTATAGGTTGCAGATCGGATGGTGTACCAGTCGCTAGGACTAATTGTTTCCATTAATTTTGGTTTTCTTCTTTCTCCTTTGCTCTTGATGAGGAGAGACACATCATTGCATCTAGATGGCATCAAGATGGTTTTGGCTATTCAGGCCCCTTGAAATTCCATGTGAATCTGGTGATTGGCTTTTCTATTTCTGCAGAAGAGCAGTTGGGATTTTGATGTGGATTGCTTTGAATCATTTGGGTAGCATTACCATCTTAACAGTTTATGTCTTTCAATCCATAAACATGGGATGCCTGTGCACATACTTAAGTCTTCTTTAATTTATTTCAACGGTGTTTTGTAGTTTTCAGTGTGAAATGTTGCCCCTCCTTGGTTAAATGTATCCTGAAGCATTGTGTTCTTTTTCAGGCTATATTAAATGGAATTAGCTTAGTTTCCTTATCCAGATTATTCATTACTGGTGTACAGACATAAAATTGATTTTTATGTTGATCTTGTATCCTGTGACTTTGCTGAGTTTATAAGCTTTATTAGTTTTTTTTTTTTTGTGTGTGTGTGTGTGTGGAGGGAGTGCTCTATCCATACCTGTTAGATCTGGTTAGATTGGAGTCTTGTTCAAGTCCTCTGTTTTCCTATTGATCTGTCCAGTTGTATCTATTATTGAAAGTGGGGTATCCATGTTTCCAACTCTTACTATTGAAATGTCTATGTCTGCCTTCAATTCTGTCACTTTTTGCTTTACATATTTTGGGGCTCTGTTGTTAGGTATATGTAAGTGTGTATCTTCTTGATGGATGGACACTTTTAGCAATATATAACGCCCTTCAAGTCTGCTTTGTCTGATATCGGTATAGCCGCCCCAGCTCTCTTTTGGCTACTATTCACATGGATATCTTTTTCTATTCTTTCACTTTCAATGATTTGTGTCTTTGGATTTAAAGTGAATTTATTGTAGAAAGCATATAGTTGGGACATCTAGAAAAGATCAACTCTGTCATTTTCTGCCTTTTGGTGGACAGTTTATTCTATCTCCATTTAAAGTAATTATTGATAAGGTCAGACTTACTGTAGGCATTTTAAGATGGCTTTCTACACAGCTTATGTCTGTTTTGTTCCTCAGATCCTCTGTTATGGCATGCTTGTGTGTTTCATTGTTTCTCTAGGGTGCTGCTTTGATGCCCTTGTTATTTTCTTCTCTGTAAAAATTTAGTGACCCTGGGGATTAAAATGAACATCTTTAATTTATAAGCATATCATTTTCTAGTTTGAATGCATGCCAACTCAGGTTCTATAGTATTAAAAAAAACTCTACTTCTGTACAGTTCTGTTCTCCTCTTATGTTGTTATTGTCATAAATGCATCTTTATGCTATGTGTGCTTGTCAACACAGATTGGCAATGACTGTTTTCTGTTGGTCTTTTAAATCAAGTAGTGAAACAGGAGAGGTACAAACAGAAACATACAATGATAGTAGTGGCTTTTACATTGACCTGTTTAGTTGCTTTACTGTTGTTTATCTGTTTATATGGCCTTCAGAGCTGTCTAGTGTTCTTTTATTTCAGCCTGCTGGACTTCCTGTCGCATTTCTCTCAGGGCTGGTCTACTAGTGACAAAATTCTCACTTTTTGTTTATATGGGAATGTTTTAATTTCTCTTTCACTTTCGAAGGACATTTTTTCTAGATGTAGAAGTCTTGGTTGACAATTTCTTTTATTTCATTTCAACCCTTTAAATATGTCACCTTGCTGCCATGATTGGTAAGGAATTGGCCATCAGTGGTTTGAGGAACGCCTGCAGGCCGTGCGTCGCCACCTTCTGGCTTTGCTCTTTCTCTTTGTCTTTTTACGGTGATTGTCGTGTCTTGCTGGGGCTCTTCGGGTATAATAGTATTTCTGAAGTGTTTTTTGTGAAGACTATATTCTTGTGTTTGAGCACTGACCTCTGCTCTATCAGTTTAGTGGTCAGCTGGTGTTTTTTTTTTTTTCTTTAAACATAAGGTTTACTCTGAGAAGTCATTATACATGCATGCAGGGAAATAATTTTGTTTCTAAAAACAAGTGGCTCAAAGTGGACTAGTTAAAATTGTTAAAAACAGACCTTTGAATTAGCTCAAAACAATAACATAATATCTGATTGTTTCATGACTTGATAAACAATTGCAAATTGAAGGAACATGAGTCTCCCGGAAGGAAGGAAAATAAAGGGGAAAAAACACTCCTTAAGATGGGAGATTGCACAGATGCTTAAGTATGTTTGTCTTTTTTTAATGTTTTTTTTTTTTTTCCCCCAAGCTGGTAGTTTTAGAGTTTCTTAAATGCCTAGAATGGAAACACCAAAAACAAAAATCTCCTTTTCCAGTTTGTATGTTGACTGTTTCAGGTCACATCTTCAGTGCCTTGCCAAGCCATTTCTAACTCTGCCTTAGCCTTTGCTTCCTGCTTGTAAGGGGTCAATAGTCAGCAACTGGTTTTCATGAACCTTTCTCCAGGTTGCTGTAATCTTTTTACCATTCACCAGAGTTGATTCTGACGGCTCTCCCAGCTTAGTTGTTGAAGGGGCACAGTTTTCTAGTTCCACTTGCTTTGTAATGTCATTCCTCAATGCTGTGTTCTTGCCTTTAGTCTGTTCTTTCCAAATCAGGGTGTGGGATGTGTTTAACTGAGGTCTATGAGGCCCCGGTGTGACAGTGCCTGTGGAGGCTGGGGAGCGAGTCCTGACAGACCACCCTGTCCCCCAGATTTCCGGCTGGTGAACGGCAGCAGCAACTGCATGGGGCGAGTGGAGCTACGGGTGCAGGGAGTCTGGGCACCTCTTTGTGCCAACTCCTGGGACTTAGCCGATGCCAGTGTCCTCTGCCGCCAGCTCAACTGTGGCAATGTGGTGGCCACACACAGAGGAGGCTTTTTTGGGGCAGGGAAAGGTACCATCTGGCCTGACGTGTTTCACTGTGTGGGGACAGAGCCCCACCTGTGGCGTTGTCCAGCAAGCACCTTGGGAGCACCAGCCTGTGCCCCGGGAAATGCAGCAACTGCTGTCTGCTCAGGTGGGTACAGGGCAAGTCATGCAGTCCAAGTGGGCAGTTGGGGTAGACACAGGGATGCTCAGGGGCTGGTCTGCAGGGGAGGAAAAGAGGAGTCAAAGGTGGGCAGAGGGGAGGTCTTCTGTGAGTGCAAAGATTGTTTTAGGCTAATGGCAAGATCAGTGTCGAGAATGACCAGTAGTTGAAGAGGATTACAGAATAAAGGAGGAAGAAAGACCACAGGAAAGTACAGGGGACATTAAACAGACTCAGGGGAGGGAGGGTGGGAGGTGGACAAGTCACTGTGTGGAGGTTGGCCCTGTTTCCTCTTTGACTCTCTTGCCCCCTTTCCACCCTTCCTCTCAGGTCTCCCCCACTCCCTGCGGTTGAGGGATGGACACACTCGCTGTGATGGGCGTGTGGAGGTGTCCCTGGACAGGGTGTGGAGTCGTGTCCTGGATGATGATTGGGACCTGCGAGGTGCCAGCGTCGTGTGCCGTCAGCTTCAGTGTGGAGGGGCAGAGAAAGCCTACAATGCTTCTGCCCCAGGTGGAGGTGCCACACCCATAGGGCTGAGCCGCGTGCAATGTCTGGGTACCGAGACCCACCTGACCCAGTGCAATGTGTCCACGTCACTGCTGGTGCCCACGAGGAATATACCAGATGTGGGTGTTGTCTGCTCAGGTGAGTGAGGCTGTCCGAACCCAGTCCTCCCACCTGGCTGCAGCCACCTGACTCAGTCTCTCTGCAGGGAGCCTCCAGTTGCGTCTGGCTGGTGGGCCAGGGCGCTGCGCAGGGCGTGTGGAGGTATTCCACAGTGGTGTGTGGGGCACAGTGTGCGATGACAGCTGGGACCTGAGTGATGCCCACGTGGTCTGCAGGCAACTGGGCTGTGGCCAGGCTCTTGATGCCCCGCGGTCCGCCCGCTTTGGGGCTGGGGCTGGGCACATCTGGCTGGACGAGCTGGGCTGTGAGGGCACGGAGTTGGCGCTGTGGCAGTGCCCGTCACGGGGCTGGGGCCAGCACGACTGCAGGCACAAGGACGACGCTGGTGCCATCTGCTCAGGTGCGCTCTTCGCATGCATTGCCACCCCACGAC